CCCACCCCACGGGGAGGGGCGGGGGGGAAGGGCCGGGGGTCCCAGCTTCCCCCTCCCAAGGGGCACCCAAAGGTCTGGGACCCCCCCGCAGTGGGTGCAGGACCCCCTGGGTTCGGGTGGTCGCGGGGGGGTCCAGGAGGGCCCAGCCCAGCCCAGCTCCGACCCGGGGGGAGGGGCTCAGGTGTCCTCCTCTCCTCCCTTTGCCCTTGGGTGGGTCGGGGGCGGCTGGTTACCCATTAACCACCGGGGCACCATAAAGGGACCCCCCCCGAACCACCGTCCCTGTCCCCCCCCCCACACCTCCTGCAGCCATGGGGGCTCCGCTGCTGCCCCTCGGCCTCCTCGGGCTCCTGCTGCTCCAGGCGACCCCCGCCCCGGCACAGCTGTGAGTCACCGGGACCCCCTCCGGCCACCCCTGGGACCCCCCCCAGCCGTGGGACCCCCTTAACCACCCCTGGGACCCCCCCCAACCATGGGAACCCCCCAGGGCTGGGTGCTGGAGACATACTGGGGTGGAATGGGGGACCCTATTGGTGCTGTGGGTACAGATCTGGGGGGGCTCTGGGCGCTGTGGGGGCTCCGTGACAGCCCCCAGTGACCCTAGGTGTCCCCAGGGTGACCCCATTGGTGCTGTGGGGACAGATTCGGGGGGGCTCTGTGGCAGTTCCTGGTGTCCCCAGGGTGACCCCATTGGTGCTGTGGGATGGATTTGGGGGGCTCTGGGCTCTGCGGGGTCTCCGTGACAGCCCCCAGTGACCTGTGGTGTCCCCAGGGTGACCCCATTGGTGCTGTGGGATTGATTTGGGGGTCTCTGTGTGCTGTGGGGGTCTCCGGGACAGCCCCCAGTGACCCTCGGTGTCCCCCCCAGGGTGACTCTGGTGACCCCGGCCGTGCTGCGGCTGGAGACGGACGAGCAGGTTGTCCTGGAGGCCCCCGGGCTCTCGGCGGCCACCGAGGCCACGCTGCTGGTTCAGGACTTCCCGCAGAAGCGGCAGGTCCTGTTCCAGGCGCGGCTGCCCCTGAGCCCCGCCGAGGGCATGATGGCCACGGCCACCGTCAGGGTACGGCCACCACCCCCTTCCCCGGGGCCACCACCCCCCGGTCACCGCCCCCCGGGTCACCGCCCGGGGGACACCGACCCCTCCCGCCCCCGGGGGGGGTTAACCCTGTGTGGGACGCGGGGGCGACCGACACGGGGGTGGGGGGACCGTGTCCCGTCCACTGGTCCCTGTCCTGTCCCCGTGTCACCGGTGCCACGCGGTGTCCCCTGTCCTGTCACGGTGTCACCGGTGGCACCCGCTGTCCCCTGTCCCGTGCCAGTGCGACCCTGTGGTGCCAGTGTCACTCGGTGCCACCCAGTGCCCCCTGTCCTCCGTCCCGCTGTCCCCCGTCCCGCTGTCCCCTGTCCCACCCGGTGTCCCCTGTCCCACCCGGTGTCCCCTGTCCCAGTGTGCCCCGTCCCACGCGGTGTCCCACGTAGTGTCTCCCATCCCGGTGTCCCCTGTCCCACGTGGTGTCCCCCTGTCCCTGTGTCCCCTGTCCCGCTGTCCCCTGTCCCACGCGGTGTCTCCAGTCCCGGTGTCCCTTGTCCCTGTGTCCCCCGTCCCAAACAGTGTCTCCTGTCCCACGCGGTGTCCTCCATCCCGCTGTCCCCTGTCCCTGTGTCCTCTGTCCCTGTGTCCCCCATCCCGCTGTCCCCTGACCCTGTGTCCTCTGTCCCGGTGTCCCCCTGTACCCCGCACTGTCCCCCGTCCCACGCAGTGTCTCCTGTCCCACGCGGTGTCCCCCATCCCGGTGTCCCCTGTCCCCTGTCTCACACTGTGTCCCCTGTCCCTGTCTCCCCCGTCCCACGCGATGTCCCCCCGTGCCCGCAGGTCTCGGCCAAGTCCCTCCCCGCGGGGACAGGGAAGCGTTTCGTGACGGTGACGGCGCGGGTGGGGCAGGCGGTGCTGGAGAAGGTGCTGCTCGTGTCGCTGCAGAGCGGCCACATCTTCCTGCAGACCGACAAACCCATCTACACCCCCGACTCCACCGGTGCGCCCCGGGGACCCCCCCCCCGCGGCTCCTCGGGGGGACGGAGGGGTCCTTGGAGGGATGGGTCACCCCCCCCCCGGGGCTCCTTAGGGGGCTGGGTCACCCCCCCGAGGCTCCTCGGAGGGCAGGGGGGTCCTTGGGGGTCTGGGGGCACCTTGGGGGGCTGAGTCACCCCCCCCGGGGCTCCTCAGGCAGCAGGGGGGTCCTTGGGGGGCTGGGGGCATCTTAGGGGGCTGGGTCACTACCCCCGGGCTCCTCGGGGAGTGGGGGGGTCCTTGGGGGGCTGAGGGCATCTTGGGGGGCTGGGTCGCCCCTCTATGGCACCTTGGGGGGCTGGGGGGTCCTTGGGGGGCTGAGGGCACCTTAGGGGACTGGGTCACACCCCCTGGGGCACCTTGAGGGGCTGAGTCACCCGTCTATGGCACCTCGGGGGTCGGGGGCTCCTTGGGGTGCTGCTGTGACCTCGCAGGGCAGGACCCCAGCACTCATTTGGGGACCTCCCCACAATGTCCCTGCTGGGACCCAGGGCCCATTTTGGGGTCCAGCCCCCACCCCTGGTGTCCAACCCCCATTCCTGAGTCTCCAACCCCCATTCCTGGGTCTCCAACCTCCATTCCTGGTCTCCAACCCCCATTCCTGGTCTCCAACCCCCATTCCTGGGGTCCAACCCCCATTCCTGGGTCTCCAACCTCCATTCCTGGGTCTCCAACCTCCATTCCTGGGTCTCCAACCCCCATTCCTGGTGTCCAACCCCCATTCCTGGTGTCCAACCCCCATTC